TTTCCCCTGCCTTGCCATGCCTCTGGCTGCAAATCCGGATTTGCTGCACTAATCCCCCCTTATGGAGGCACCCAAACTGCCGCTGGGGACGGGACGTGTCCCTGTGCCCGGGCTGGTCAGGACACAATGACAGAGCCCCCGTCCCCGGGCTCATCTGCAGGAACATTCCTGAGTCCCTGCAGGAAGCAAGTTAGAAAAGGGAAGAACCTCCAAATGGGCCAATCTGCACGTTCTTTTGACACAGACACAGTAGTGTGGGCCCTGCGTTGGGGGCTCAGTGTGGGGTCCACATTAGGGGGCTCAGCAAGGGGTCCCTGTTAGTGGGCTCAGTGTGGGCTCTGCATCGGGGGCTCAGCAAGGGGTCCACATTAGGGGGCTCAGCATGGGGTCCACATTAGGGGGCTCAGCAAGGGGTCCCTGTTAAGGGCTCGGTGTTGCGCTGGCACCTACGAGCGCACGGATGCCAGGAGGGGCGGGCGATGGGGCTCGGGAAGGAGCAGACAACAGGGCCCAGCTCTGGGGCCGGTTCCTTGGGGCCGGCCGGGGCACTGAGCCCCGCTGGCCGCTCGCTCCGCAGGCGCCGTGCGAGCCTCCAGCATCTTCCCCATCCTCAGCGTGGGCCTGCTCTTCTTCGGGGGCCTCTGCGTGGCGGCCAGCGAGTTCTACAAGAGCAAGCACAACGTCATCCTGAGCGCCGGCATCTTCTTCGTGTCCGCAGGTGGGTGCGGGGACGGGGAGCCTGCGGGGACGGGGAAGGGGAAGGGAAGGGGAAGAGGAAGAGGAAGGGGAAGGGCAGCAAGGCCAGTCCCTCTGGCACTGTAGAGGGAGCTGAGGAGGAGGCAGCAGCTGGAGCTGAACTGATTCCCTGGGGAATCACGAAAGCTTCAGTGCCAGCTCCACTCCCGGTGCTGGAGCATCCTCCCAGGGATGCTCCAGGCCTGCTGGACACTCAGGGAGACGGAGCCTTTGCGGAGCAAATCTCCCGAAACGGCGCTTCCCGGGATGAGGGCGGGGGCCACGGTGCCATGAGCCTCCGTCTCTCGCCAGGTCTCAGCAACATCATCGGCATCATCGTCTACATCTCGGCAAACGCCGGGGACCCAGGACAGAGCGACTCCAAGAAGAGCTACTCCTACGGCTGGTCCTTCTACTTCGGCGCCCTGTCCTTCATCATTGCCGAGATGGTGGGCGTCATCGCCGTGCACATGTACATCGAGAAGCACCGGCAGCTCCGCGCCCGGTCCCACGCGGAGCTGCTCAAGAGGTCGGCGTTCACGCGCCTGCCCCCGTACCGGTACCGCTTCCGCCGGCGCTCCAGCTCCCGCTCCACCGAGCCGCGCTCCCGGGACATGTCGCCCGTGAGCAAAGCGTTCAGCACCATCCCGTCCACCGACATCTCCATGTTCACCCTGTCCAGGGACCCCTCCAAGGTCACCATGGGGACGCTGCTCAACTCGGAGCGGGACCACAGTTTTTTACAGGTCCACAACTCCATCCCCAAAGAGTTCAAGGAGTCTTTTCACAACAACCCGGCCAACAGACGAACGACGCCGGTGTGAGCGGGGCCGTGGGCAGCGCTCCGTGCCGGGCTGCATGACGTGCTCCTCGTGACGGTGTAACCAGTGAGACCCGCTGCTACGGACAACCCTGAGGCTCCCCGCCCCGGGCAGCCGGTTTTCCTCCAGGAATGGCGCTTCCCGCTCCCTCTCCCGCTCTGGGGGATGGCGGAACCACATGGGGACTCTCGAGGACGCCCGGCTCGCCAAGGCCACCGCCATCCGCGTTGCTCGCGGCCGTGGTGCCACCTTAGCCGTGTCCCATGGAGCCGTGTCCCGTGGTGCCCATCCGGCTCCGTGGAGAAGCACCGGACAGGCCACAAGCGCTCGGGGAGAGCTGGGGCTGGGTTTCTCTCTGGCATTTCGTGCATGCATTAAATAGCTTGGAATTCAATTTTGTCATGTTGGGTTGGAAGAAACACCCCCTTTGCCTTGTCCTGGGCTCCTGAAAGGGCTCCTTTCTTCCCTGCCTTCCTCCCTTCTTTCTTTCCTCCTCTTGGTGCACTCAGACCATGGCAGGACTCAGGAGCAGAATTCCTCCAGTGACTGGTAGCCATTAGCCGGTATCTAATTAACTCCCGCCGTCGCAGGAAGATGAGGTAATTCCCGAAGCGGAGCCGGCCGCGCGGGGAGCGGGGGCTGCTGCGGAGCAGCCGGGAGCGGCGCCGGTGCGCGGTGCCGTAATGGAACATGACTGGGAGATTAATGAGCGAAACACCAATAAAAACGTCCAGTTTGGC